TATCTTTTAAGCACAATTTCCATATGAAAAGGAAAGAGGTTTGGAGGTTTGTATCAAACCAAGGTCAACCTCAGCCTCACATTCAGTCAAAGGCTAGGATACTAAGCGCACAACTGTAAAATGGTCTATTGTCTATTGCCCAAACTTCGACTTGTTAACCAACTGACTTGATTTCTGACAAGTAGTAAGGGTGTACGTCCTTTCGAGGAACCAGTAGAAAAGTGTTAGCAGCTGCAACGTCATTTACTTTTTCTAGTTGTCGAGTACTCAAATAGTTGTCGCTCCCTAAGAGATGCAGTTTCCTTTAATTATTTTCTTCTTTTGCCTCAAAATAACGATAATTGGTAGGCGACCATTTGCGAAGTTTTAAATTAGGTTTTGACTTGTTTTTTTTCCCTCTTCCTCAGGTCTTTAGAGTTTGGGACATCCAAACCCTGACTTGCTTACAGGTAGGTGTGAAATCGATAGCCGCGTTTGTAAAATAGATTTTTGCAAACATGATCCCGAAGCAGAGAAAGAACGTTTTCATTCTATTATTTACATGTAGGAGGCTACTTCATGTCGTGGGCAATTTCTACATCTTCTGAAACAAAAAGATTGATGATAAAAGCGATTTTACTTCACTTAATGAATCACTTCCCAGTGTTCTTCTCAAATCAATTCGCCGACCAATTAATGGTCAGTTTTGATGTCGCTTCAAGAGTCGGGGGCTGCCTATGGCCTTGAGATATTAATTGTATTTCCTGAATCAACATCTAGTTTTACCAAATGCCATTTTTTACAGGTGTTCACTGATAATGAAGTCAGACCAGGAGAAAAACGGATCTCTTGTATGCTCTTTGATGGCAAGCACGATCGGCTTATAACAGGTATCAAGATCATCTTAGGGCGGAGGGCCTCTATACATGTAGATGGGGGACCCCATGTAGGTGAGGTAGCCCGCTTAAGTGGAGTATAACCCGCCTGTTCATATAATCTCTCATATGGTCACCCTACCTATCATGTAAACGTGATCAAATTAAAACGAGAGATTATATGAACAGGCGGGTTACCCTACCTATGCGGTTTGCCTCACCTACCTGGGGTCTCTCGCCTCCATGTAAACAGGCCCTTATTTATAGCCCCGATGCTACTTGTCCCTTTTCGCTTCGGGCAATAATACTTATAACCATTGTCAAGCGCTGGAAAACGACTACGGGGATGGCGACGACATCGTCATACCACCAGTAGTTTTAGGCTACGCCCATACGAATCCGGATATTTTTGAAAGCGCATACTTCTTTACACAAATCGGCCCTCCGTCCACACGAAAAAAACAAGAATCTGGACACCAAAACCGCATTGTTTTGTTCCCTCTCTCCTGCCTTTTAAGGGCCTGTTTACATGGAGGTGGGGGACCCCAGGTAGGTGAGGTAACCCCCTTAGGTGGGGTAACTCGCCTGTCCATCTCTCATTTTAATTTGATCACGTTTGCATGATAGGTGGGGTGACCTGCCACATGTTACCTCACCTATCTGGGGTCTCCCACCTCCCTTGTAAACAGGCCCTAAGGCCCCATCCACGCGGATTCGTATAAAAAAATATGCTGTTTCACAAATGTCTGGATTCCTGTGAACGTGACCTAGATTAGCAAAACAACAACTCCGCACGGGCATCACGCTTTTTTGTACATTTCGTTACCATTGTGGCATGACAACAACGTGAAACGTCCTAATTTCACGTTTGTGAAGGACGTGAACACGAGAAAACGATTGAATTTTTCTTTTTTTGATTTAAGATACGGTCCTTCAAAATTCAACTCGAGAAAAATTCGCCAAAAATTGACCAACTGACCGAGATGAAATTAGTGGGAAGAAGTTTGAAGGAACGCGAATTCACTTTTTGTGTGATGTTTTTGCTGCCGTCGCCGTTGTAGATCCTAAAGCTCCCTATTACACGGCACCGACCACACTGATAGGTGTTTTTAGAATACTCCGTTTTCATCTTAGCGAAAACGAAGCGTAAACATCTCGTTCTCGTAACCGTCCTCGTCTCAGAATCTAAAGCTCTCTAATACGATTCGTTGATGCTGTTTCAATTCCATATTTAGGTTGCAGTGTGATTGACACTTGGCCGCTGACCAGAGCCATACAGGACTCACTTCAGGTGCCTCACACACACGACAGACCCATATGTCAGGTAAGATTTTAGACAATTAGTTCAACCAAAAGTCTACGCTACTTTTACTTTCAGAACTTTAGATTTTAAATAGGGTTGGACGTTATCGGCGTTTGTGAAGAAAAAAAAGGAAATGAGAAATACGACCGGACAAGAACTTTTAATTTGATATATGTATTTTAGTATCTGTTTACATGTGTTTTTCAGTTGCTGTACAATCCACATATGAATCAAGTTATAAGTGGATGTATTGAAGGCATACTAAAGGTACCTTAAAATTAACCCTACACGCATTAATCATATAATATATTTATTATTCATTCAAAATATTTTGTAGTCTCTAATTGGCTCAAAGTTTCCAGCTAATTCTCCATAACTAGCTGACGTTGACTAAATTTGGAAGACGCGAGCAGGCAGCGTGGTTTCCAGGCAAATACACCATAGATCAACCTCATCTTCAGTTGCGGCAGCCTAGCTTATTATTCCCGAGTGGGCTAAACAAAATCTACTTTTTGAGGAGTATCTGCAAGAAAAAAAAAACATCTTTTTATGTCCTGAAAACGTCCCGAGGAGTAGACCAAAGTTTTGAAAAAGTGTGCGAGGAGGTAAGCCTGTTGAGAACCTAGAAATATTTCGAATGGATAATAAAACAATTAAATTCGGCTTTCGTGTGATGTGAAGAATTATGCAGATCTCAGACGCTGTTATCCGCCTCGGCACCGAGACGGATCCTCGACCTGCATATTTCTTCACATCATACTCTGCCTCATTTAATAATTGTTAAATGTATGTTTACTTAACGCTAGCGTTTACTTAAACCTCTTACAGCTCCCTAGATAATTGGATTATCGGTTTGGTCATCATAGAATANCAGCCTAGCTTATTATTCCCGAGTGGGCTAAACAAAATCTACTTTTTGAGGAGTATCTGCAAGAAAAAAAAAACATCTTTTTATGTCCTGAAAACGTCCCGAGGAGTAGACCAAAGTTTTGAAAAAGTGTGCGAGGAGGTAAGCCTGTTGAGAACCTAGAAATATTTTGAATGGATAATAAAACAATTAAATTCGGCTTTCGTGTGATGTGAAGAATTATGCAGATCTCAGACGCTGTTATCCGCCTCGGCACCGAGACGGATCCTCGACCTGCATATTTCTTCACATCATACTCTGCCTCATTTAATAATTGTTAAATGTATGTTTACTTAACGCTAGCGTTTACTTAAACCTCTTACAGCTCCCTAGATAATTGGATTATCGGTTTGGTCATCATAGAATACTAACTACAGTAGCGGCAAATATTAAATTAAAATGGCATAACAAATATAAAAATACCTTTTAGACTATGATAAACAAATCCACACTACCTTATACAACAAAAAGGAATGTCCAGGGCAAAATTGTTGGTGACAAAGTCCCCAAAGTGCTTAATATAGTAGTTCGTATAGTTATTTTGTTGTTGGATCTGACAGAGCAATGGAAAGTAGCCTAAACTAGGGGCGGCTACTGACGAGATTCCTAGGGATACGGGCTTCCCGATTTTACCACGGTTCTCAAGCTCGAGCTTAGAAAAGAAGCAATTCCATGCAGCAATTCTATGATAGGTCAACCGTCACCCATTCCCAGACGCATATATCGTCACCACCTCTCTCTCCCCCTTTTAATTTACCTTAATCTAAGCAAACTGCAGTTGTCATAAAAAAGCTCGCATTTGACTGTGTTTGCAAGGATATGTACTCCGTATGTCAGGGGCAGATGACATTTCCGCTAGATCTTTATTAGAAACTTCGTTGGTGTGCGAAAAGTGCAATTTCCCATGGTTTTCCTCCTTTATCAAATTTTGATGAGAAGATAGATGCGTTTCTTATCTGACTGCATGTTTTTTCAGACTTAAAACTGCGAACGCAACCATGATTTTTTTTTTTTCAAACCAAAAACCTGCCAAAACGTTCTTAAAATATTATTAAACCAAGTCTTACCAGCGCTTCTTTTTCTAATTCTGATTCTTATTGTGTAATCTGCAAAAGGTCTAGCCCATCACTATGTACATAAATAAAAAATATACAGCATTGGGTATATTTTATGAAACGCACTTTCTTGACGCAAGAATAACGACGACTGTAGGACAGAAATGTAGCCAATATGTAAGCCGATAAGAGCGGGTTAGTGATTTTTCTAGGCGGAGCCTCCTCGCAAAGCTAGCGGCGACAAAAAGAACACAAGCAGGCAGGCGCGCGCGATAAATCCAGCCACCTTTGCAGTGTATCATAGTACTATTTACATGTATATATAACCTTTATGTGTGCCGAATGAATAACGTAGTATTCAATCGTCACTCCTTTAATATTGAAGCTTTAAACGGAACGGGCTTTTTGTGGCTTTTCGTCTACTAAGAGTACCTCAAGTGAAACAAATGTCAATTCCTAAAATACTTACAGGGAGAATCACCTCGCACTTCATGATAAAGGGAACAAAAGGAAAGCACTCCCCAGTAGTGGTCACACCGCTGGGATTCATCCCAGACATTTAGGCTATGTCAGAATCATATAACCGCTTTTGGGCTATGTTTAATGTTTACACCCTACGTGATTGCTTTTGCGCAGGCACGAAAACCATACCGGTTAGAGTTTCTGTTCACCAATAGGAACAGTGATTTTGGCGCGATTTCTGTAACAGAGCGAAGCTGCGCCGCAGTGATCTCTTAAGTGGAGAGTGACAATGACATGTCGGATAGTGTTCACACTCAACTGGATAGCTTTTGTGCCGGCATGAAAAGCTATCCGGTTGAGTGTGAACATAGCTAAAGGCCTGGCATTCAAAGGATGGAACGGCCATAATGTTAACTGATTTATATCGATAAACTTGGTGAGCAGAGTAGTTGCCTTATCATGTCCTTCACTGCTTGCCTTACTTCTCTGATCTTCCAGCAATAGAGGAATGGGTTTATAGTCGAGTTTACGTAAAGCAGAGATAAGGCAAAATCCTTAGCGATGAAACCATCGGGAGACAGCCCTCTCTTCGTCCACAACGCCCTTGCTATATTATAAGGCAGGTAGCAGGCAATTAAGGCCAATTGTAGCCACAACGCACTGTTTACTGCCCTTTTATACCGCGCAACGTTAAGTGGAATCGCTCGGCCCTGATGCTCTTGGACTTGAATTTGTTGGTGATTCACAGTCAAGTAGATTTTTGAGTACGAGAAAATAGAGGTGACTAGACACAATGGTACAAATATATAGGTACACCATTCAGCTATAGAAGGATTCCAAACGTACATCGTTGCAACGAAAGTAGACGCAAACCAAAGTACACTTACAACTATAAAACTTCGCCTCAAAGTTACAATCTGTCTGTATCTGAGCCCTAGAATAAGAGCAAGGAGTCTGTCCAGGCTTATTGTAGTCAGCGTAAATAAAGACGCTAAACACAACGTATAGCTTGCGACAGTAGGGCCATTTATACGAGGAAAAATAAGACGCGTCTTAAATAAGACGCGAACTGTACCATTTATACGAGCATGTCTTATCTAATAAGACGCGTCTTAGCTAAGCCGCGTCTTATTTTAGACGAAATGTGCCGTTTATACAGAAAGTTCGCGTCTTATTTAAGACGCGTCTTATTTTTCCTCGTATAAATGGCCCTAGGGTCTACAGTTAGTACAAAGCGACATATACCCCATCGTTCATACACCAAAGACATCCAAAAGGTAACTGTAAGAGGCTCCACAATGAGGCCAACGCAGAGATCAGTTGTAGCGAGTGAACGAAGAAGGTGTTTGGATGGCGGATAAAGGGAATTCTCTTTGCGAAGAGCAACAAGAATCAGAGAATTCCCTACGAATGCTGAAATGGAAAAAAGAACGGTAATCCCTGAAAGAACTATCAGTTGCTTGCGTATCCCTCCGACTAATTCTGCCAAGCAGTAGTTATACAGTTCTTGAAGTTTTTTCAAGCTCTCTTCGCTAAAATTTGTTTGTGCCATGATTTTTCACCGTATGGTTGCCTGCTTTTAAGGGCGGGCGCTGTACGTGTCGCGTCACGTAACTGAATGTACTGGCCAGCTGCGGGCGTTTTGAATTGGATGTCTTCAAATTGAAGTTAACTTCTGCCGCTGATAACTTTTTTTTGTGACCAAAATGAGCGATTGAGATGCGTTAGAAATGAACTTACTCCGGAAGACAAATTTTGCATGACCAAATCCCCGTGCAGCATATATATTTTTGTAAACAAACGTCAAAATTCAGTCATTTTTATACAATCGTCAAGTATTAATTTTTTGGTAATGAACCAAACAACCACCCCTTCGTACCTTTACTATCGATTAAAAAATCAACGTAAAGGAAATTGCTTTTTCATCTCCTCAGCAGTCTGCTTGTCTTCAAAATCTATGACTAAATAAAATGACTGAGAATGAAAAATGGTCGATTGCTCACTACATAATTTCCCAAATCATGGAATTAATGGAAAGCTTCGAATGATAACCAGAATCCCCACTATTTGGAGATTTTCACTCCCTTGTTATTATCAGATCCTAAATTACTTAAAATACACCAAGGTAAAGTTTTATTGCTTTGTTTTTAGACTTATTAGATTGTGACAGCGCCATCTGGCCATTTCGACGGCTAAGCTAAGGTGTGTCATTGTGGTCTCAGTTTCGATTGTTTCCTACAAAATTAAATTGTATAAATTGTAGAAAGTTGTAGCATTTAAAGTATGGTTGACGTTTTTGATCTTATGCCACAAAAATCTGTCTGCTGTTTGTTGTAACTGTCATTTATTCCTTTAGTTTTAGTCCGTAAAAGGAAGAAGTCAAGTAATTATCAGGCAAAATGTATTCTAAGTCGCCAAATTAAATTGCTGCTAAATACATATTTTTCAAAGTCTTGGAACAAACGTGGCACCAAAATTCCTTTTACATGCAAGGTAAACAGGAAATTTACACTAGTAGTATATCATAATATAGCGAGTCAGACTGGAAAAACATAAACCGTTAAGAAATAAACATCTCAATGATTTGGCAAATTAAAATTTGTCATTTAATACTAAAATACACAAAGAGAGCAAACATGATCCTCTCCTCTCGTTATTTGTATTAAGAAACTTTAGAATCACTTTTCCAAGTCCTTTTTTGACACATTTGTTCCTTATAAGGTCCCGATAATGTGTCCACGCATAATTGACATGATGTTGCGCTTACAGATATATTTAGAATGTACTATTCTCTATAATGGCAGAAGAATCTTTTGCTGTTTTATTATCGAAGCTTCCCTTCAGCAAACTCTTTTAGAAGAAGGAGAAAGTGTCCGCAACTAGAGCTGGCCTGATTTGCACTTCATGCAGAGATCTGTCCGTCGCATTTTTATAATGAAGTGGAACTTTTTAGCTGTGGTCAAATATGGCAGATGATAGACCGCCTAAAATTGAAATGTCCACTAATATGCAACTTGCACACATGTACCTTAAGTAATATTCCTCTGTGAAATTTTTGACGAACCAGATTTTCTGCAATCACGGTTGTTGCCCCCAGTTTCTAATACCATTTTTTAGTTGGGCGTCCTTTACATTTAGGCAAATTTAAAAAACCTCACAGAAAGTTAAGTGTTACCACAGGTCGCGCAAGCTCGACATAAAAGTGTTTGCATTGTTGCGAAAGATAGAATTTCTATGGGATAAATTTTCACATTCGTACTTTACAGAAACCGTTTTTCCCCCATATAAATCCTTATGTTTCGAATGTTACGCAACAAACCGATACTCATATTTCAAGCTTGGGTAACCTGTGATGTTGCATACTTAAGGAAGTCTGTGTCTTAAAAACTGAATGCCAATCAAATACTGCGGCAGTTAACTTAGGCCATGTTCACACTGTGGCGGAGGATAGCTTTTCGCGTTGGCACGGCAAGCTATTCGGTATAGAGTGAACACCTATCCGATACGTGACTCTCCACTATAGCGATCGGCATTCGCTTCGTTACAGAGATTGCACCGAATTCACTGTTTTTATGCGTGATGCGAAGCCCTATCCGGCATGATTTCCCTGTTGGCGCAAAAGATATCCATTATAGTGTGAAAAAATCTTTAGGAACGTCTGGGTGGCTACAGGTAACTTTCTGGCTAAATTGAAAAAAGTTATTGTGTGTTTGTGCTCTTGAAAAGAAGAGCGAGATTCATGCAATACAAAGAGCTGGGTTTTATTGAAATATTGAGGCAAATTTTTTCGGAGGAAAGATAGGTAAAGCTCTAGTTCGAGCGATAATAGTTATATTCATTTAGATTTGGTAGGCTTTATGTCTGCACTCTAACGGATAGCTCTTGCCCCGGCACGAAAACCTTATCGGTTAGGGTTGATTTCCACTGTCGCGTAATTTTTACGTACGTACGTGCGTAAGATTTACGTTCGAAAAAAAAATACAGGCAATGTGTGAAAGGTCGCACGCAAGCGTAAAAGTGGAAACTCGCTCAACTTCTCGTTTAATCTCAACACTTTATATCTTGCCTCTATTTTATTTACGTGATTAAAATTTACGTGCGTTAACGTGCGTAGCCAAAAAGGCGTCAGTTGAAATCAGCCTTTAGGGCTTTTGCTGTCACATAACTGAGAACGGTGAGTTCGGCGCGGTTTCTCTAACGGAGCTAAGCTGCACCGCGCCATTTTCAAAGTGAAGGCCACCTACAGGTTTCTGTGTGGGGTGTTCACAGACCGTCTATTTTCTTAAGAGATCGTCGAGCGCGCGTAAGAAAATAGAGACCTAAGACGAAAACGACCACGAGAACGAGATTTTCTCAATACTGAGCATTGCTGGCGCGTGAACCAGCGTCATTTTGGGCGCGAAACGTGATAGCCGTCGTCATTCTACTACGAGGTTTAGCGAGAAGGTCGTAGTGGCGGAAACGAGTTATCAAATGTAACAAGTTTTATCATTTTGCGACCGGGAAAGGGCATCAGCTCCTTTAATAAAGATAACAGTGCTAACTTTTCTGGTGAATCAAGAGTACTATGAAGCTTTCCGGGAAGTCTATTTTTTGATAATACGCGAAAAAAATTTAATTCAAAACTCGTACTCGCGGTACTCGTAGTCGTTCTCGTCCTCGAATCTAAAGCTCTCTAATAGAAAACCGCGGAGGATTTATTCACGGCAATCACAAGGGGGTTGGATAGGCTAGTTTCTTTTCTGCTCATTGTTGCATTGCGAGGTAGAAATGTTTGTATAGATAATAGCATGATTTGTATTGATATTTGGGATAAATACCACGAGTGATATTTCGAAATTGTTATACGTAATTTCACCACAGGGTAGCCGATTGTTATTTTACAGTAAATGTACTGGATTTACCGTTTGCTTCACCTATAGCGACATATCGCTAACTATGTATATAAATCAATGATAAATAAACGTTGAATTACCTTACCTGTGGTTTATAGTCGTCCTTTTGCCTCAAAAGCGGTTTTTTTTAGCGATTTTGAATGAATTTAAGTTCGCCGTTGACTGTTTTCTATCTGTTCTATTGTATGAAACAGTCAACGGCGAACTCAAATTCATTCAAAATCGCTCAAAAAACCGCTTTTGAGGCAAAAGGACGACTATACACCACAGGTAAGGTAATTCAACGTTTATTTATCATTGATTTATATACATAGTTAGCGATATATCGCTATAGGTGAAGCAAACGGTAAATCCAGTACATTTACTATAAAATAACAATCGGCTACACAAACAGACTGTGTGGGCGCCCTATGATTTCACTCGCCTAACGGCTCGTGAAATTTGAAACAATTTTGAAATATCACGAGTGGTATTTATCCCAAATATCACGTAGAAAGCATGCCATTATTTGTTTATACTACTACCCGCAAAAGGTTTGTAATTTTCACATGTTGGTATTTCAAATTAAGCTGAAATACCACTGCTCTAAGCCAATCAAATTGCAGCAATTTCTCATTTAGTGGTATAAAAGAATAAATACATTGTAACAATAACGAAAAAAATGATAACCGCATAACTTAATAAGTAAATTGAGTATGACGGCTTAACTGGCAGACGACCAATAACATAGCGACTTAGTTGACCACCCCACAGGTTGTCGAAACGTCTGTCACTGTCAACAAAAGCCTGCGTCGCAACCGGCCGACGTTTCGCATATAGAAGGTTTAGAGTGTCTGGAACGCAGGCTATGTCAACAACAGTCCTATTCAGGACTATGTTTACCCGGACGATCATACTCAACCTACTTAAGAAATGACTCCTGGGTTCAAACCTTTCACAGTATAACTTAAGTTAGAATCAAGGTCGATTGGCAAAAAAGCTGTCTTATCGTGTCTTTAACTGCTTGCCGAACTTCTCTGATCTTCCAGCAATAAAGTATTGGGTTCAGTGACGAGTTTGCGTAAAGTAAAGTCAAGGCAAATTCATTGGCGATGAAACCAGATGGTGTTAATCCTCTTTCAGTCAAGAAGGCGCCCGTTATTATGTAAGGTAGATAACAGGCAACTAATGTCAACTGAAACCACAGCGCACTTGATACAGCCTTTTTGTATCGCGCTATATTGATCGGATTGAAATGACTCGGGTTTGCGGGAATGTGTTGCGCGTGTACTTGATACCGACGATGGTGCAAAGTAATGAAAATTTTTGTGTACGAAAAACTGGAGACGATTAGACACAGTCCCATAGTGATATAACCGTACCATTCGGAGATAGGATGACTCCAGAGATACCCTGTTGAACCAAAGATGGACACAATCCAGATAGCAGTTATGCTTATACGAGTTCTTGTGATAGTCACAACTTGTCTGTATCTGAGTCCCAGCGAAAGGGCGAGAAGCCTTTCCACGGCTATTGCAGTCGATGTAAACAAAGACACTAAACACAAAGTATAGCCAGTAATAGCACCTACATCTAACGCGTAACGACATATACTGGATCGTTCATGATGTACCAAAGATATCCAGAAAGTGACTTCAAGAGGCTCCACGATTAGGCCAACGAAGAGATCAGTTATAGCGAGGCAACGCAGCAGTAGTTTGGACGGCGCATAAAGGGAATTTTCCTTGTGAAGAGCCACTAAGATCACGGCATTTCCAAAGAAAGCAGTGAAACAGAAGAGAATGTTCAGCCCTGAAAGAAATATCAGTTGGCTGTGTATCCCTTGAGTTAAATCAGCAGAGCAAAAGAGTTCTTCATACGCTTTCAGTGGTGTATTTTCAGTATAGTTGTCGTTGGCCATCGGGGAAAAGTGAGCAGGTTCTTGATAAGGATGAGTGCTTTAAATTAACGCATCCAATTATGACAGCAAGTAAGTTCGATACACAAAATAGAAAGTTCTAATCTGCAATTTGATCAATGGAATTTTCATTGCACCTGCCAAAACATCTTCTATTAATTGCAAAGCCCACTGTGTTGAAATAGCTTTCGTTTAAAGTTCTATTCCGTGGATGTAGCATCAATAGGAGTTTCTACTTTGCGTCGCTCGCTACTTGCCACTTCCCCACTTCCCGCACTCGAACTTGTTCAACAAGCTTTCAATCAGCTGATGCAGTTTCATCCTTCAAAATAGGTCTTCTCGCGTATTTTAAGTTACGCTTTGTTAGTTGAGTATTCGGATGTGCATGAGCTGTTTTCATTAATACACTGCGGGTGTATGAGTGCGGAGTAATTGTTGTTGTTAAGGATTTTTTTATCCAGCTATCATATTTTCTCAAGTCAATGTCCTGGCATTTATTCAAACGTGGCTTTAAAAGCGTAGGGTCCAGCGGTTATTATGCAAAGGGCTTTTATTCATAGTTCTTAACAGCCCACGTATTATGCCGTTATGCCTGAAGTTTATTGTTTCACAAATAAAGTCCTAAGCCCGGCTTGCAATCTAAAAAATACGATGGATCAGCATTCAAGGTAGCTGCTCATCAACAAAAGAACGCCAGTGCTAATGTGGGCATTTATGGAGAACAGTTTGACAATTGCACCTGCACGCTCATGCTTCTTGAAAAAGCGTCATGGAGTGTTTAACTATATATTGGTTTTTAACGTTTTTTGAGTGAATGGATCTTTAGAAAGTGAAATAATGAGACGATTTTGTTTTTTAATGTGCGGCGCTTCGTGCCATACTTTTCATGTCGACTTTGCGAGAAAAGTCTTTTTAGATTATTTAGTTTTTGGCTTTTAGGTAACTTACTGTAAATAATGTAACATGTACACTTCTTCGTAAACGGCGAGCGTGTCGTTGATCCTTGTGATTTAACAAACCAAAGCCGTAGCTAGAACTGACGAGTCTTTAAACAAGGTCTATGAAGACAAATAAGTAGTAGCCCTGGTTTGTGATTTAAGAAATACAGGTGCATAAACAGCGAGCGTCGTCTTAGTCGTACTTTACAACTCTGGCTTTTTTGCCGCCATTTTTGCTGCTATTTTTAATTGGGCATATGAAATAGTGGCGAGTGGTCGTTGAAAAATCGCTATTGTTTCAAAAACTGCTTGACTTCCTTTCAATATAAGCGATTTTTTGAACGAGAGTTACCAGAAACCTTTCTTGGGGGGAACTCCTTCACATCAGATGGGCCCGCCCTATAGTTACCGTGTCCGGCATAAGGATCGCAAGGAAATTGCCCGATCTATCCAGCCGTTACGTTGGACTTGTTTAGTGTAATGGTAATAGCAACCGGGCATGTTTTTTAGACCCCCGTTATAAAAGGCACTACCGCCATACATGTATAGCTACTAAAGAGGTGGATCCAAAAAATGCTATAGAACTGGCCGTTGATGTTAAAATTTGCTAGTATTACTGAATTTAAATGATCGGCTCCTTGTATAGATTAATTTGCTTCTTAGATGAATTGGGGACAGGAGTAGTCATATTTACTTTCAGCTTATAAAATGTCATGTCACCGACAGTATCACATAGCGCAATGTACGCCTATGACAAGCGTTTATTTACTTTTTCTGTGTGTTTTCTTTTTTCCGACCAGTAATTCACTTAACTAGTGCACAAGGGCAATTGAAGTTTATTTCCTGTATTTATTGATTATTGTATTATTGTGTTGTTGATTGTTCTGCAGGTATGGGAGATGGAGACAGGCCAGTTTGTGTATCAGGTGACAGACGCCCATGGTCCGTCTACTGAGATAACTGCCATGACAGTTGACAGCTCAGGCTACAGACTAGCAACGGGGGCTTACAATGGTTAGGCTCAGTAATAATATGATGACATTATAGGTTATCTTATATATGTGGATGTGATTCTCGCAGTTATACGATCAACTTACGCGGTTGAGCTGTCGTTCAGTTGTGAAAATAAATTGCCGTAAATGTTGTAATTGACGCCCCTCTCAAATAAACGCCCCCTGTCTAATAGACGCCACCCCCATGAGAACTACTCNTACAGCCTTTTTGTACCGCGCTATATTGATCGGATTCAAATAACTCGGGTTTGCGGGAATGTGTTGCGCGTGTACTTGATACCGACGATGGTGCAAAGTAATGAAAATTTTTGTGTACGAAAAACTGGAGACGATTAGACACAGTCCCATCGCGATATAACCGTACCATTCGGAGATAGGATGACTCCAGAGATACCCTGTTGAACCAAAAATGGACACAATCCAGATAGCAGTTATGCTTATACGAGTTCTTTTGAAAGTCACAACTTGTCTGTATCTGAGTCCCAGCGAAAGGGCGAGAAGCCTTTCCACGGCTATTGCAGTCGATGTAAACAAAGACACTAAACACATAGTATAGCCTGTAATAGCACCTACAACTAACGCGTAACGACATATGCTGGATCGTTCATGATGTACCAAAGATATCCAGAAAGTGACTTCAAGAGGCTCCACGATTAGGCCAACGAAGAGATCAGTTATAGCGAGGCAACGCAGCAGTAGTTTGGACGGCGCATAAAGGGAATTTTCCTTGTGAAGAGCCACTAAGATCACGGCATTTCCAAAGAAAGCAGTGAAACAGAAGAGACTGTTCAGCCCTGAAAGAAATATCAGTTGGCTGTGTATCCCTTGAGTTAAATCAGCAGAGCAAAAGAGTTCTTCATACGCTTTCAGTGGTGTATTTTCAGTATAGTTGTCGTTGGCCATCGGGGAAAAGTGAGCAGGTTCTTGATAAGGATGAGTGCTTTAAATTAACGCATCCAATTATGACAGCAAGTAAGTTCGATACACAAAATAGAAAGTTCTAATCTGCAATTTGATCAATGGAATTTTCATTGCACCTGCCAAAACATCTTCTATTAATTGCAAAGCCCACTGTGTTGAAATAGCTTTCGTTTAAAGTTCTATTCCGTGGATGTAGCATCAATAGGAGTTTCTACTTTGCGTCGCTCGCTACTTGCCACTTCCCCACTTCCCGCACTCGAACTTGTTCAACAAGCTTTCAATCAGCTGATGCAGTTTCATCCTTCAAAATAGGTCTTCTCGCGTATTTTAAGTTACGCTTTGTTAGTTGAGTATTCGGATGTGCATGAGCTGTTTTCATTAATACACTGCGGGTGTATGAGTGCGGAGTAATTGTTGTTGTTAAGGATTTTTTTATCCAGCTATCATATTTTCTCAAGTCAATGTCCTGGCATTTATTCAAACGTGGCTTTAAAAGCGTAGGGTCCAGCGGTTATTATGCAAAGGGCTTTTATTCATAGTTCTTAACAGCCCACGTATTATGCCGTTATGCCTGAAGTTTATTGTTTCACAAATAAAGTCCTAAGCCCGGCTTGCAATCTAAAAAATACGATGGATCAGCATTCAAGGTAGCTGCTCATCAACAAAAGAACGCCAGTGCTAATGTGGGCATTTATGGAGAACAGTTTGACAATTGCACCTGCACGCTCATGCTTCTTGAAAAAGCGTCATGGAGTGTTTAACTATATATTGGTTTTTAACGTTTTTTGAGTGAATGGATCTTTAGAAAGTGAAATAATGAGACGATTTTGTTTTTTAATGTGCGGCGCTTCGTGCCATACTTTTCATGTCGACTTTGCGAGAAAAGTCTTTTTAGATTATTTAGTTTTTGGCTTTTAGGTAACTTACTGTAAATAATGTAACATGTACACTTCTTCGTAAACGGCGAGCGTGTCGTTGATCCTTGTGATTTAACAAACCAAAGCCGTAGCTAGAACTGACGAGTCTTTAAACAAGGTCTATGAAGACAAATAAGTAGTAGCCCTGGTTTGTGATTTAAGAAATACAGGTGCATAAACAGCGAGCGTCGTCTTAGTCGTACTTTACAACTCTGGCTTTTTTGCCGCCATTTTTGCTGCTATTTTTAATTGGGCATATGAAATAGTGGCGAGTGGTCGTTGAAAAATCGCTATTGTTTCAAAAACTGCTTGACTTCCTTTCAATATAAGCGATTTTTTGAACGAGAGTTACCAGAAACCTTTCTTGGGGGGAACTCCTTCACATCAGATGGGCCCGCCCTATAGTTACCGTGTCCGGCATAAGGATCGCAAGGAAATTGCCCGATCTATCCAGCCGTTACGTTGGACTTGTTTAGTGTAATGGTAATAGCAACCGGGCATGTTTTTTAGACCCCCGTTATAAAAGGCACTACCGCCATACATGTATAGCTACTAAAGAGGTGGATCCAAAAAATGCTATAGAACTGGCCGTTGATGTTAAAATTTGCTAGTATTACTGAATTTAAATGATCGGCTCCTTGTATAGATTAATTTGCTTCTTAGATGAATTGGGGACAGGAGTAGTCATATTTACTTTCAGCTTATAAAATGTCATGTCACCGACAGTATCACATAGCGCAATGTACGCCTATGACAAGCGTTTATTTACTTTTTCTGTGTGTTTTCTTTTTTCCGACCAGTAATTCACTTAACTAGTGCACAAGGGCAATTGAAGTTTATTTCCTGTATTTATTGATTATTGTATTATTGTGTTGTTGATTGTTCTGCAGGTATGGGAGATGGAGACAGGCCAGTTTGTGTATCAGGTGACAGACGCCCATGGTCCGTCTACTGAGATAACTGCCATGACAGTTGACAGCTCAGGCTACAGACTAGCAACGGGGGCTTACAATGGTTAGGCTCAGTAATAATATGATGACATTATATGTTATCTTATATATGTGGATGTG